TCCACTTAATCCAGCTATTCCCCTTCTGGGTATGTTGCCAGAAGAATTAAAAACATCATGCCACAGTGATAAATGTGCACCCATGTTTATAGCAGTGCAATTTGTCATAGATAAATCTTGGAAACAACCCAAATGCCTATCAACTGAGGAATGGATAAAAAATATGTATTTCTATAGAGTGGAGTAGTACTCAACTATAAAAAAGATAAACTCAAGGCCTTTATAGGTAAATAGATGCAACTAGAGACCATACTCATAAGTGAAATAAATCAGATCCATATGTGTAAACATCACATTGTCTCCCTGGTGTAAGAACATGAAAGAGTAAATAAAACCCAAAATGTGCAATAGATAATAAGAAAGGGAAAGAAATTGCTCAAAGGAAGGAACAACTGGGATGAGGGAAAGAAGAAAAAGAAAGCACTAAGGCATTTTATATATATATATACATATATGGATCAGTGGCATAACTGTACTGTTGGTGTCTGATGGTTTGTAGAGGGGAAATTAATGATTAAAAGTGTTTTTAAAATATTTTGACTAATTTTGCATGCTTGTATCTGTTAATCTGAGCAATTTATGTGATGACAACAATTTGCAGTATAATATCCATTGGTGAATTCCTACAATCCTGCCTAGTGACACTATGTATTGTCTTTAATGTTCTTTTAAATTATTATTTTCTTATTCTCTTTAATGATTTGATCAATCTTCTATTCTTACATCTGGTAATCTGAGCAACTTTGTTGAAGATAACAATATGTAATATAACAACCACTGTTCATCTCTATCATTTGGTTTAAAACCCTGTATCATTTTTAATGTCCTTGCTTTGTGTTGTTTGTATTTTGCTATTGTTCTTTTTTTTTGTACTATTTTCTTAAAAAAAAAAAATAAAAACATGGGTCTGCAATGCTGTGTCATTAATTTTCAATGGAGAGGAGACAGTGAGAGGGAGGGAGAAAGGGAAGGAGGGACAGAGAGAGAGAGGGAGGGTTCAGAGTAATAGTACTAGCTTTCTACATAAGCGCTCAAGCCTACTTTCCCAGGGCCTCAATTTTAGACGCTCTCAGGACCACAAAGGAGACTGAGAAGTAGCTCAAGAGAAGTTGGAAATGTGTAGTATTTGTTAGGTTTCCAGTGCAGAAAAGAACCAAAGAAAGAAAGGAAAGAAAAAAAAAAAGAAAGAAAGAAAGGAAAGAAGGTCTTTACTCCAGACAAGGAGAAGAGCGGGAAACATGCCATACTGGAGTCCTCTGGAGCTAGACAAGGGAGCTTGGGGGGGGTGGAGTGGGGTTTATAAAGACTCTGGCTCGGGGCGGAGCTTAAGGGGCATGCTTAGTGACGTGTCAGGAGCTGATTGGGGTTTACTTCGCGCGCTGGAGAAGGGCAAGAGGAAGTTGTACTCGGGACTGAGGGGAGGAGAAACGGGGGTGGTCATTGGGAAGATAAGCCGTTGTTTTGGGCTTCAGCCATGTTAGACCACCACCACATAATAATTCAGCAATTCATACGTAGGCAGGAACCTATCAGTATTAAGAGAGGCAGAAGTATGTGGTATTCTAGGAAACAAAGGAAAGATGTTTTAGGGTGGAGGATGTGGTCAGCAGTATTTCAACAGGGCCAAATTTAAATGAAGGTTTTAAAAGTGTTTTCAGATTTGTGATATGGAAATTTAGTAAGGCAGGTGGTGGCGGTCGATTAAGAGACTGCAATCTCTTAAAGAAGTGGGAAGTGCCGAAGAAGAAACCAGTTCTTGCCAACACTAGCAGAGGACAGAAACAGAGCGAAGGCTCCTCCTCTGCTCTTCAGACCTCTCCCCAAAGATCCGCGGGGTACAGATCCCTAAGCGGGATACAGATCCCTAAGCGCAGGTCCTTCCTGGAATAAGGGGTGACCCCAGGGCTCGTGACGCTCCAGGTCTAGTCCGCTGCACTGCTCGCTGAAGCACTAAGCCTGTGCCAGGAGATTTTAGACGCCCAGAGACTTCCTTCGACATAACCCTCGCCGCCAACTGGGGAGTGTGCGCCCTCTCCCCAAATTTCCCCCACCGCCTGGCGCGTGGGCAACCCCCGTGACAGCCCTGGGCACCGGAAGCCACGGCCTCTGGAGCCTCGGGTTCAGCTTCCGGCTCAGGACGAATCTCGCGGGGAGGCGCTTACAAGGTTCCGGGCCGCGGACGGTCCTCCCGGCGCGCCGGCTGGCAGGTCCGCCGCGCCCCCAGGCGGTTGCCGCAAGCGCGCCCTTGGCGGGTGCCGCCGCGCTGCGCAGCCCGGCCGGGAGGGGGCGGGAGCGGCCGGCGCTGAGAGGAGGTCGGCTGTAGGCCAGGCCGTCGAGCGGTTCCCGCCGTCCCGGAACGCGCCATGCTGCGCTGGCTGCGGGGCTTCGTGCTGCCCGGGGCGGCCTGCCAGAGCCACGACGACTACCTGCGCTACCAGACCCTCTTCGAACGCCTGGACCACAACGGAGACGGCGTGGTGGACATCCTGGAGCTCCAGGAGGGGCTGAAAAACTGGAACTCCGCCTTTGACCCTGATTCGGAGACGGTGAGCGACTGCGCAGATGCGGGAGCCGCGGAGCCGCGGAGCCGCTGGACGAGGGCGGGAGGCCGGGGGACGGGGCGGCGCAGCCCGGGAGCGTGTGCGCAGCCGCCCGCTCGGGTCATGTGCGCGCTGACAGCAGCCCTCTGGGCTTCGGGGGAGCCGGTGAATGGGGGTCTGGAGACTCAACGTTTTCCAGCCAGCAGGAGCTGTAAAGCCTCCTCTCTTTTCGCAAGAGTCACCACCTAGGCGGCCGCGGTGAACCTATGGCACGCGTGTCATTGCGTTTTTCTTTGAAGACAAAAGATGTTAATGTAGAGTTTTCCCCTAGGCTAAAACCTCGTTAATCGGGTTTCATGACCGTGTTGGGACTTTGCGATGAATAAGTGGATTTGGAGTTGCAGTTTGGTGCTGATTCTAAAAGGTTCTCCATCACCGCCTAGGAGAAGGTATTGAGTTTTCTCCAAAGGGCAGGCACAGATGGATGCCCCCTGCTCTCTTTCTGACGTCCGTAGCCAAGGGACTCAGATGGATCCATAGGGTTACACGTCAGCCGACTGTTAGTACCTTGCCTAAATTAGATGTCTTTCTTCTCTAGGCTGATCTTGACTTGAATATTTTAAAACTGTTCATTAAATAATCTTAGGGGAAGTTTCAGGATATCAAGAGAAAAATATCATCTTGCCTGCATCAGTGAGGGGATCAGGACAACTCTGCTCTTTGAAGCAATCACCATACTTGAATCAGGTTTGCTGGGCAGGTCCCTCCCTGTCTCCTAATAGAAAATGTACAGTAACAAGCAAGTAGGAAGTTTTCACAAGAACTTTGTAAGCATTATATACTCTTTATTTTGGCTTTTATGTTTTGGAAAGAAATGGATGCAATTATGTTTTGGAGTCTTGAAGTAACTTGTTTATTTTATGCTGATTCTGTGATTTCATATATTTTATTGTGATAAAGTACACATAGAATTTACCATCAGAACTATTTTTAGGTGTATAGTGCAGTGATAGTAAGTACATTCATGCTGTGCAGCAGTCACCACCATCCATTTTATCTTACAAACCTGGAACTCTGCATCTACTAAAGAGTAACTGCTTATTTTCCCTCCTCCTGCCTCCAAAAGCCACCACGCTGCTCTACGAGTTTTGACTACTCCAAGCACATCATCTATGTGAAATCATACAATACTTGTCTTTTTGTGACTGGCTTAATTCACTTAGCATAATGGCCTTAGAGTTCGCCAGTGTTGCAACACTGTGTCAGAACTCCTTTTATTTTTAAGGCCAAATAGTATTCTATTGTATGTGTATACTACGTTTTGTATATTCATTCATTTGTTGATAGACACTTGGATTACGTCCATGTTTTAGTTTTTGTGAATAATACTTCTGTGAACATGGGTGTATAAATATCTTTTTGAGATCCTGCTTTCAGTTCTTTCAGGTATATTCCCAGAAATGGAAGCTGGCTCACAGGGGAAATCTGCATTTAAAAACTTGCGGAATTGCCAAATGATTTTCCGTAGTAGCTATGTCACCCTGTGTTCTCACCAATGGGACAAATGTGTTCCAACTCTCTTACATCATTGCTGATACTTGTTACTTTGTGTTTTGTTTTTGTTTTTGAAAATGGGTCAGTGTGTCTTTCTGTGTTGTCCAAGCTTTCCCCAAACTCATCATCCGCTTGCCTCAGTCTGTAGAGTAGCTGGGATTACAAGCATGTACCACCTTGCGCAGCTGTGTGTGGGTAGTGTGTTTAAGTAGTAGACACTCAGTCAGGTGTGAGGCGGTATTTTATTGCAGTTCTGATGTGCATTAGTGATGCTCAGTATCTTTTCATGTGCTTAGTGGTTATTTATATATCCTCTTTGGAGAAATGTCTATGCACGTGCTTTGCCTATTTTTAAACTTTTACTTGCTTTTGTTATTGACTTTAGGTAATAGTATATATACAATAGAATATATTTAAATTTTTGTGAAGCTGAATTTGTGAATTTTATTGTTTTAAATTTTTTTACACCTTTTATTTTTGATGTCACATCTAAGAAATGATTGCTAAATCCAATGTCAGGAACATTTTGCCCTATTTTTTCCTAATAGTTTTATAATTTCAGATCTTAATATTTAGGTCATAGATCCATGTTGAGTTAATTTTTACATATGGTCTTAGGTAAGGATCCAACTGTATTCTTTTGCAGATGGACATCTAATTCTCCCAGCATCTTTTGTTGAAAAATCTATCCTTTTGCTATTGAATGGTCTTGGCACCCTTGTCAAAAATCATTTGACCATATGTATGTTTTTATTTCTAGGCCATTTCATTGGTCTATATACATGTCTTTGTGAACAGTACTGCTTTGTTTTTGACTGCTTTTGCTTTATACTAAATTTTGAAATCAAGAAATGTGAGTCCTCCAATTTTATTCTTTTCCAAGATTGTTTAGGCTGTGTAAGTATTCCTTGAGACTCCATATGAGATATAAGAGGAGTTTTTCTGTTTCTGAATATCATGAATGGGATTTAATTGAAATTATAGATTGCTTTGGGTAGCATTAACATCTTAATAATATAAATTCTTCTAATCCATGAACATGGGATGTCTATTTCTTTAAGTTTTTTCAGATGTGTTAGAATTTTCATTGTACAAGTGACTTTCTCATCTTCTTGGGTAATTTCTGAGGATTTACAAAGAGATTTTTGCTTTCTCTTTAGCCATTCTGTAGTCATATTTATTTATTTATTTTTACCAGCACTTAGGCTGATTCTATAACCTTGCTATTGTGAATAATGGTTCAATAAACATGGGAATGTAGACATCTCTTTAACAAACTGATTTCAGGCCTTTTGGGTAAATTCTTGAAACTGATATTGTTGAATATATGGTAATTCAATTTTTGTTTTTTGAGGAATCTCCTTACTGTTTCCCATAATGGCTATTCTAATTTACTACATTCCTGCCAACCCATGTACAAGTTTTCCCTTAATGTTCTCACCAAAAACTTGTTATTTTTTGTCTTTTTAATAATGGCCATTTGAATAGGTGTGAGATTGTAGTCCCTTGTGGTTTTAATTTGCGTTTCCTTAATAGTGACGTTGACTACCTTTTCATATATGTTGACCGTTTGTTTGTCACCTTTTGAGAATTGTCTTTTAAGATCCTTTGCCTGTTTTTAAATTTTATTTTCTTTGCTTGCTATTGAGTGGTTTGAACTCCTCATATATTTCAGATATTACTGATTATTAGATGTAAGACTTACAGGTATTTTCTCCGTTCTGTAGGTTGTCTGTTTACACTGTTGTTACTTTGTTATATAGAAGGTTTTTAATTTGATGCAATTCCACTTGTTTGTAGTTCCTTTTTTTTTAGTTGCGCTTTGGTGTCATATTGAAATAATTGCCCAAAGTCATTTAGTTTTACCCTATGGATTTTTCTATTAGTTTTATAGTTTTAGGTCTTATGTTTAAATTTTTAATTTGTTTTGTGTTGATTTTTGTACATGGCATGAGAGAAAGTCCAGTTTAATTATTCTGTGTGTCAATATCCACTTTTCCCAGTTTAAATGTAAACTCATTACAGGTTAACATATTTCTCATGAAAAATAACTGTGTTCTCAAAAACAACAAAAAATTTAATGAGAGAAGTGGCATTACTTTTAAATTTTTGCAAATATCTTTAATGCGTAACTTAAGGGAAGACAGATAGAATATGTCCCTTCTGCATCATTCTTTTACAATGTCACATGTCCCATAGGCGTCAAAAAAAAAAGTAACTCCAATGCTGGGCCAAGAGATGGAGAACGGGTGGGGGATGGGAAAGAGGCATAAATTAAGGTGTGTTACATACCTAGACTAGCTTACCGGGATGAATGTAAATGTTATTTACTGCAAACATGTGCTAATAACAATGAAGATTTGAAAAAATACTCCCATGATCACAGGAACTGGGGCTGTGTTCCCCAGCCCCTGCCTCTCAGCAGGACTCCGCCCAGTCCCTGTCCGGTTGACGCTGTCCCCCATGACTGTCTCTTCCTCATCCACGCTGGGAGCTTCGCAGTGTGAAGCAGCCAAAGGGCTGCTCTGGTACCCCGTTCAAACACCCGGCCCTTTTCCACGGCGGCGTTCCCGCCAGTTCTTGCTCCATGATTGTGGCTGCAGGCGCTTGTTCTGAGGTAACTCACCAACTATTGATTGTGGATGGCCACTCTGGAAACAGTGTCCTGCATTTTCCTTGCTGGTTCCAATTGCAGATGATTCTTTCACTTTCTTGGTTAAATGTATTCCTAAATATTTTATTTTTTGGATAGCTGCTGTAAATGAAATTGTTCCATTAATTTTTCTTTTAGTATAGTTTCTTGTTAGTATGTAGCAATGCTATTTTTTTGCTTTGTTTTGTTTTGTTTTTCCGGTACCAGGAATCGAACTCACGACCTCGCGCTTGCCAGGCGGGCGCTGTGCTGCTGAGCTAAATCCTCAGTGCCTGTAGCAGTGCTATTGATCTTTGTGTGTTTGGTTCTGATGCAGTTCTGTTTTCCCTGAGCAAAAATGTTAGTTTCACTTTGCCTCCCAGCTGGTGGCTAGCCAGCTGCTGGATAGTCTTCTCCTTGGTGCGATCCATTTCTTTTGCATCATTTAGTCCTATTTCTTTTCCTCTGTCACTTCCCTCGTGGTTCCCAGGTAACCTCCACCCACTTCAATTCCTTTCCAAGGTACTGTTTCCCAGACTCTAAATACTGTCCTGGGGAAGCTTAGTTTATGGCACTCACTGCTCTGCCATTTTGGGACTCTCAGAAAAAATACTTGATATTATTTTAATATTCTTAAATTTCCTAAGCCTTGTTTGTGCCCTTACACCTGATATATCTTGGAGAATGTTCTATGTGTGCTTGAGAAGAATGTGTATTCTGTCACTGTTGAATGGGATGTTTTGTATTTATCTGCTGGTCCCAAAACTGTGAGCTAAATTCACCCTTCTCTTTATAATCTAGTCATTATGGATACTTCACTGTGGTAATGCAGAACTGGTTAATATAGTAATTTCATAGCTCTCCCCTTTTTTAGGGTCCATTATTGGAGCTTTATTAGTTTCTTTTGGAGGTGTCATAATCTTTCTGTCTTTATATTGCTTTCTATGTGTTTGAAGAGACAGCTCCTACTTCTGGATTTTTTTCTGTAAAAAGTTGCTAAGTTTTTGAGATATAGCTCAGCAGCATAGTGCCTGCCTGGCAAGTGCAAGATCCTGAGTTTGATTCCTGGTACCAAAAAAAAGTTGCTAAACTTTAAGTCATTGTACAGCAAAATTGAGACAGTCTCATGATGTAATCGAACTGATAGAGGACTAATTTTTTCACACTGTAATTTAGTGTTCTTTAACACTAATGTCATGTGCGTACCATATATATTCTACCTAATGGGAAACACTAATCTACAGAATTAACTTGAAGTCCTTTTCATGGGTTGTAAGTCCTCCCATGATCTCTTTCCTGACCTACCTTATCTGCTCCTTTTTTTCCATGCACTTTGTCTAAGGAAATTGGGACTACTTAAGATTTTTATGAAGAGTAAGGATATATAGATATAAAGTACTTAGAAGTAAGTGCTCAATAAAATTATCTGTTATTGTTATTATTTTTGTAATTAATGTCTGCTCTATCTTCGTGCAAATCTGTAAATATTCTTGGAACATCCTCTTCCATTTAACTGTCCAGCAGATGCCTTGTTTTCTCTGTGAATCTTAATTTAAGGAATCTTTCTCTGTGAAGGCTTGTCAGGATCTCCCCAAACTTTACTGTACTTTGAATACATTCCCATTGTATCACTGAACATACTGTTTTTGCTTATGGGAGTTGTCTCTACTGGTTGTTTCTTTAATTTGCTTCAAGGCAGAGATTACATATTCTTATCTTGTAATCTCTAACACCCGGTCCAGTTTCTGTCTCATAGTATTTATTTTTCAATTCAATAAATATTTATAAAGTATGAATTATCTGATTTATTTACTAAAGGCATATGTATACCATACTTTATGCTAGACACTAATGTTACAGAGATGAGGATATAGGTGATGATGTAGGAGTCTGCTGAAAATGTATATGACATGCATGTATAAATTATTATTAATTTTTAATTAAAAATTTTAAGGGCCTAGTGAAACTTGAACGTTTACTTTACAAGACTAGATCTTTAACCATCAGCTTAAACCATTCAGCTGAGGGACATTGTCTTGGTTACTTTTTTCTCCCTGCTGGGACAAAGTACCTGATGCCCCAAATTAAGGAAGGAAAGGTTTATTTTGCTTACAGTTCGTGGAAGTTTCAGTCCGTACTTGGCAGATTATAAAGCAGAGTGGCACATGGCAAAGAGCTACAGCTCAGGGCGGCAGAACACAGCTAAGCCGCAAGCACACACCAGGGCGGAATGGGCGAGGAATGTCCTCAAGCACTCTTTTCCTCTCCCTTACATATGCTAACTATCCACCCCAGGGCGGTTGTAGCTCTCACACCCATAATCATTCAACTCTAATAGCCTGCCCCATGGTCGCATGAGGCTTTGGAGGGGACACACAGACATAAACCATAACAGACATAATAGAATCTCACATATTTTAACATTTTGTTTGCCAACATTATCTCTGATGGCAAAAAGTATGTGTATTAGTATCATTATTCCCTTGAAGTGCTTGGCATTCATCATTTACCTCAGGTAAATACTTACTAATAAGGTTCATAATTACTTGGGATTACATGGTGGCTATGAACTTTACTATTGTACAAGTTAAAAAATAACTTAATATCCTTAACCTTGTAGCTGTGACTGAAACACTAAGTAATGTGTTCTTATAGCAGTCATAATTAGTAAGAATGAAGTGTGCAAATGTTAGCATGGTATAAGGATATACTCAGTGGTGTCATGAGTGGATTTACTGCAATGAATTTCTTCTCTTTTGTAGGCTATTCTTAATGCTGGAGGTACCAATGCTGACTCAGGATTGGATTTTGAAGAATTTGTGCGGTATCTTCAAGACCATGAGAAAAAAATGAAGCTGGCATTTGACAGTCTGGACAGAAATAAGGATGGTGTGTATGTCTCATTAACAGTTGGCTTAATGTGAATAAGTATCAGAACTAAAGGGTAATTTTGCTAGCTTTTAACTTACTCCTATCAAACACTTGATTATTTCTACTAAGTCTGTCATTTTTAATTTCTTGAGAAAAGTTATATTAGTAGTATACTTCCCAGGCAATTCATCTTTTTAATAAAAATAATTTTGTGGAAATTTGTGTCATCTGACTTGAAAGCTTTTTGGCTTAATGAGTGGGCCTTCCACTTTTTTGCAGTACATGAGCTGAAAGTATCATGGTAACTTGAAAAACATGACATTTATCATTTTCTTATTGATTATGAAAAGATATTGGTTGTAAGAAAATGAGATACTATAGACAAACTCCTGGAAGAAAGAACAGCCCTGCTGTTTAGACATCAGTTTTGACACTTTTATGTTTTTTTTTGATATGTTTGATATCTTTCTTATAGACTATTGCTCCTACCATGGCTTCTTCCATCTTCCTGGTAGGCTCTAGCAGCCCTGCAGAAGTACTGCTTTGAATGAGCTGCCAGCTCTCTTTGTTGGTGTCTGAGCTGCTGTTGTTTTTCATGTCTCAGTCACCACTTTTGTGTAGAATTCACCCAGTTTACACTGGCCAGGATGCTTACTGAAATGAGAAATAGAATACTTCACCTGTTATGGGGTGAATCATGTTTTGTCAAAATGATATGTTGAAGTCCTAGCAAACAGGACTTCACACTTGTTTAGAAATAAGATCTTTATAGGAGTAATCAAGTTTAAATGAGGTCATTGGATTGGGCTGTATTCTGACTGGTGCCTTTATTAAGACACAAAAGGCAGATACAGTTATACCTTGGTACTCTACCACTTTGAGACTTGGCACATTTGCTACTAGATGCATTTTGACATGATCGTTTTGTCCTGGTACTCATCATTTATTTGAGCATAAACTGCGAGTTGGTGTTGATTGCCTCATGATTCTACCTTTTCCAGCCAAAACAGTTTGTTTGCTGCTCATTGTTTTTGATACTTTCACCCTTTCAGAATCAATTAACAATGAGTACTGAGGTGCCGCTATATATATAGGAGATGATGATGTGAATCCTGGCATGCAGTGATAGACAGGATTGGAATGATACCTCTTCAAGCCCAGAGATGCCTTAGACTCTTAGAAGCTTGGAAAGAGGCATAGAACACACTCTTTCCCAGCATCTTCTGAGGGAGCATAGCTCTGCTGATACCTTGATTTTTGTTACAGTAGCCATAGGCAACTAATACCCCCTGTGTGTTATGCTTAATTAGGAGGTATCTGATAGCAAAATATTACGGGCCTCAAAATACAGCTTTTTTCAATTCATATGTTCATACAGCCACTTTCTCCCAGAGTGTACAAGTGTTTCCAGGGTGGCTAGGATAGAGTATTTCATGGTGATAAGAATTCTGAGGTGTCTTAAAAGCCAGAGAATAGACAGGAGAAAGAGATAAGAGGTTTGAATTCATAGCTTCGAGCTAAATTTAAAAAAAGAAAAAAGAAAAACAACTCTCCGTATTCCTTCCAGTATGCTGAACCATCCAGGCCATATCATATTCTACATTTAGGACCAACCAGTCTAGAAGAAAACTTTTCTTGGTGGTCTACCCTCCTAATTTAGCACATCGTACTCTTTGGGTTGTAGATGAAGTGTAAATGATTTATATTTCTTCACCCCAGTATTTCATTACAAAACTCTCTGATTCCTTAGGTCTGGTAGACATTTTCCCCCCTACTATCTGGCCATGCTGCTAGTGGCCTGGGGAATTTGTGCTAAGACCAGTCCTTTTACCTTTTGACTAGTATCTGTAATAGCTAAATAAACCTTTCGTTTCAGAGGCCTCATAGACTCCAAAGTTTGACTTAACACTGATCGTAGGTGCCTTATTGACTCTGGAGCCAACATTTCTCCACCAGATCTGGCTCACTGCACCAGACCTTTCCACTCTTGTTGTATCCAACATTATTGTTCCTCTTGGTACTCTTCTAGTTCATCATATGCTTGTATGTTAAACATTAAGAGAAGATGAGATTCGATTGTCCCACACCCTGCTCACCGCCCTAGGAGGCTGTCTAGTTCTCATGTCAGTCAGTGGAGGTAGATGGGTACACATGGGCTAATGATTCTATTAAAAGCCCTATCTGGAAACACCTAAGCCCCTAATCTGGCCAAAATATCCATAGAATGCTGTTGCAAGTATATTGCTGAAGTAGTTAATTATTAAACATCATTTCATCAAGTTTCTTTCTAGGATGATGTCTTACTTTTATCATTGCTGACACAAAATACCCAACATCCACAAGTTAAATTAGGAAAGGTTTATTTTAGCTCACAGTGTGTAGAGGGTTTCAGTTCATAGTCAGCTGGCTCCAAGGCAGGGTGGCATGGCAGAGGT